AAGGCACTCTTAGTATGTTGCTTGTTAAATACTGTAGCTTCTGCTGCATCTTTATGGACTATTGATACCCATAAAGGCATCAGTAGCAAATGCATATAAACCAATGCAAATCCTCATAACTACTTTCATACATCATCTCTCCAAACTAAGGAATCTGAAGACTCTGGAGGCACCAAAAATAAGTGATGACATGACATAAAGGAAATCAATTTAACAAAAGTAGGCCTATTTATGACATGAAGGAAATCAATTTAACAAAGTAAGCTACAAGTTTTAAAGTGTTCATCTCTAAAATCCATAGCTTCAATAAATTCAATACATATCCACTGTTTTGAGCTTTCCATTATTATAAGAGGTATTCTTATTCTTCACAATGAATAAGTTACTTCCAGCAACTGCAAGAGCAGTCATTTTACAAAACATCAATTTTTCTTTATTATTTTTTATTATTATTATTTTATCATATTTCTATACTGCCCTACTCCCGAAGGACTCAGGGCGGTGAACAGCCAAAATAAAATACAAAGACATACAAAAGTTAAAAACTATTAAAAACAGATTAAATAATTTAGGCTCAAAAAACAAATTAAGACATCCAATTTATCTAAAAAACATTTAAAACCCAATTTAAAAGGGAGTGTTAGGCCAGACCAGCCTGTTGGAATAAAAACGTTTTTAGGGCGCAGCGGAAGATGCGTAAGTCTTGGATCCTCCGTATCTCCGGGGGGAGCTCGTTCCAGATGGCAGGTGCCCCCACAGAGAAGGCTCTCCCCCTGGGGGCCGCCAGTCGACATTGTTTGGCCGACGGCACCCTGAGGAGCCCCTCTCTATGGGAGCGAACTGGTCAGTGAGAGGCTACTGGTGGCAGAAGGCGGTCTCATAAGTACCCTGGTCCTAAGCCATGGAGCGCTCTAAAGGTGGTAACCAAAACCTTGAAGCGCACCCGGAAGACCACTGGGAGCCAATGCAGCTCGCACAGGAGGGGGGTCACATGGGAGCGCCACATCGCTCCCATCACCACCCGCGCGGCCGCATTCTGGACCAGTTGGAGCCTCCGGGTGCTCCGGGTGCTCCTCAAGGGGACCCCATATAAGTAAGAACAGTATTTCTTTTCCTGCAAATATAGCATTAACCTCTTTTTTGGATACTATCCCAAGACATTTTGAAAAACCATGTATCAGGGTAGCTTCACATTCAAATTCTCTTCTCTTTTATAAATTATCTGTCAAAATGATTTCAATTAATGTAATTTATTAAAACCAACAAAATAAAAAGAAAAAAAATTGCATTCAAACAGTAGCAGTGAAAAACATGAAATGCATTGGTGACCATACCAAGCCTCTTTAAAATTGATATTGTGAAGCATTTAGATGACTAGTTGTACCCTGAACTCTACACACATAGAAGTCCCAGCTTAATCTTCTCAAACACCATATTCTTCAATACGTTTGGTTTGGGGGAAAGTTCCTTGAGCTATTTATCAGAGTAAGAGAGATCAGATATATTAAATTCAAACCACATAGTGCTTATTGCTTGTGAAAACAAAGAGGAGAATAATGGAATGAAAAGGTTTTTAGCAAATGGAAAAGCAAGTTTCTGTCCAAAACTTTGCTTTTATTTTTTAAAGTTTATCTTTAAAAATAAACTATATATTTCCATGGATAAAAGAATTGATATATTAAAGTGTATATGAGTAAGAAATAGAGTTGATGTACTAAAAAGCTTTGTGTGGTATATAAAAATATCTAATTCCAATATTCTTGGAAAAACTATGTTCCTAATCATGATAGAACCAAATTTGTCAATAACCAGGCACAGGATAATGTGGCTGAGAATAGACTTAGATTATTATACCACACCAAAGATACTAGTTTTGAAACATTTAAACAAGAAACGAAATGATCTACAAGTCTAAATTTAATAGTACAACATCCATGTTACAATTTTAATTTGGGGTTAAAATAAATTATTTCATAATATTAAGAAGCACTAATGGGAACAATTTAAATTCCAGTGGTTAAATGCATAATTTTCTTCTCAGTTCTGTTCTGTTTATTTATTATCAGGTAATTCAAAAATAAAAACTCCATGTCAAATATTCATAAACAAATGTCAAAGTTTAAGAACACGAATATGATTATACATTTATGTGCATATACATGATATGGATGATTCATACCACATGAACAAGAACAATGGTTATGAGATCAATGAAAACCATTTGCTCCATCTTCTACTCAAAAAGAGGACAGTTGGCATAGGATCTTTTGGAGGTAAAACAATATTACAATTGATATATATGGGGCTCCAATTTGGGATTTCAATAAACTAGAAGAATTAGAAGTGGTCCAGGTTAAATTTGGAAGATCATATCTGCAACAATATTGAGATTAAATCCCTTCCATCAATAAATATAAGGGTAAAGAAAGCAATAGTTTTATATTATAGGAAACTAGTTATCATGCCTATTAAGTTATCATACTTAATCTGAAAAAAATAATGCCTTCACGAAAAATGTATTGAGAATAGATGGATGAATCTGTTCTACTCACACAATTCTTGTTAGATCAGGAACGTCTGAGTGACATAAAGTATTATATATTATTGAGATACCACTTATTTTTTAAAGATTTTATCCAAGATAGAGAGCAGATATGTAAGTTAAATAAGTGGCAGCAACTTTTTAAAGAAAGATAAGGAATGTCATAATATTTAGTCTCGTACATCAGATTCCCTGAGAATGTTGTTCCCCTGTTCCCTTTAAAGAACTTCACTTTCAAACAGCTTATATGGATGGGAGATATAAAGGATTACCAAATACACACGTTTATGTAGTAATTTATAGATGGAAGATTACACTGCAAACTTTAACAAGAACCCAGAACTAGATTCATCACACCCTTGTTAACCCAATTGAATCAATTTAGTTTAGAAGAAAAAAAAATCTATTTTATATTGAAGGCATAAACATGTAACAAAAAAATTGTTTGGATTGTTTGCAAGAAAGACACAAAAGCACACCTTGACAAACAGTGATGTTAATACTATGGGGATGTATTGAACGGATATGATTGCTATAATTTTATATGTACAGTATTTTGCTAAAACCTATTGTTGCAAATAAATGTTTAAATACAAAAATATGGATGATTAACTTGAGGAAAGTGAGATAAATATAAACAAGTACTGGACACTTACCATTTATTTAATATTACTTCATAGATATCCTACAATGCATAGATTATATTGGAAATTATCTTTCCTCAAAAGTAAAGAAACATGCATTTTTGAAACAACTGTTTTTAAGGGAAATAAAATCTTCAGGACCTGAAAACGTTTTAAAAATCACATTTATACTATTAAATCAGTAAGATAGAATTTGTAAATTTTCAGGTATTTAGATCCATTCATTCTCCATTCATAAATAAACAAATAATATAGCCAATAGTATAGCTTTGTAACAGTACTACATGCATAACTACATACCTGCAGTATATATTTGGACAACAACCAGGAGGGCACCTGGGGTATTATAGTGGAATGCAGGGTTCCTAAAAGTGGTCAATATTGACACCCAAGAGTTATATCTAAGAAATCAATAAATGGCTGAGGGTTAAAATGGGGTCACTAAATGTCTGAGTATCAATGTGTCTGAGAAATGATGGAAGGTTGATTGGGGTTAATTAATCTTTTGGGATCTCTGTAGTAAGGTAAAGGTAAAGGTTCCCCTTGCACATATGTGCTAGTCGTTCCTGACTCTAGGGGATGGTGCTCATCTCCATTTCAAAGCTGAAGAACTAGCGTTGTCCGAAGACGTCTCCATGGTCATGTGGCCGGCATGACTAAATGCCAAAGGCGCATGGAACGCTGTTATCTTCCCACCAAAGGTGGTCCCTATTTTTCTACTTGCATTTTTTACGTGCTTTCGAACTGCTAGGTTGGCAGAAGCTGGGACAAGTAATGGGAGCTCACCCCATTACACGGCACAAGGGATTCAAACCGCTGAACTGCCAACCTTTCGATCAACAAGCTCAGCATCTTAGCCACTGAGCCACCCCGTCTCTTGTAACAGCACTACAACATGATAAAAAAAAAAATCCAGATCTTCATCATTGCTGCCTCCTCCTCTTCCTCCTCTCACTTTCTACATTTTTGTCTTTAATGTTGCCTTTAATATAATTAATTCCACAGTACGGTTTATTCATTTAAATATAATCAAGCTATTTTAATTTTCTGTGCCGACAGAATATATACTTTTTGAATTCATGGACTCGATAAATTACTTCTTTTAAAACTTAGAAATGAGACTCTTGATTTCTTTTGTGCTGATTTATGGCTCCATCTGTGTTGCATATTTTCATGCAAGTGCCCTAGTGACTTGATATTTAAGACAAGTTTGTCATGTGTGAATCTTTTAATTAAAACATGAAAACTCAAGGAACCTACTCTATAAGTGCAAACATTTTCCAATATTGCTATTTGCTAAGGTGCATTCCACAATATATAAATACCTTTCACTGAAACGTAAAACAATAATTTATCTCATCCCTATAAAAAATATTACTTATTCATCCTTTCCAAAAAGAGCAAAAAATATTTTAAGATTCAAAAGGATTGAAATCATTTAGCATCAAAATAACAAATGTAATTGTTAATACTATATAATAGAAAGGTATATGAAATAGGATATATACATTTATGTATATTTCTTACTAAGGTAATATTAGGTTACCTTAGCTAAGGTAAGCTAAGGTAAACTAATGTTAGTAAAAGATAATGTTAGTAAAAGTATTTGATAAATTAAACTAAACAAAAATGATATAACAATCTCAGTTTATTTTAGTTTCATGTTCAAAATATATCCAAAACAAGGTATTTTGGGGTAATATGGAAAATTCCTATCTGATGTTCCCAAGAGCCAATATCAAAATAATTACAGATCATACCGAACTAAATGGAATTTCACCATATTCAAGATGAAAGTAATATAAATAAAATACCTTATATGCAGCACCACCATGGATGATAGATTTGATGAAAATTCCAAGATCTGCTCCTGTCTCTCGAGATTTGTTGCCTTTTAAGCTCACACCAAGTCCAGCTGAACCCGAATCGTTCAAAGGAATTTCAAAAGTCAATTGCTCTGTTGCCTCGAATGAAAAAATGTTGCAACATGGTTCTCCTTTCTGTTGGATGAACAGAGAAAGCAAAACATGTTGACTAAAAATAGCAAGTAAGTACTTTTTTTCCTCTGATCATACAAGATTAAGAATGGAGAGGAATACCTCAAGAGACAGAGAATGTTTTTAATTTTAACTACATTTTAATTGGGAAGCAGAATGAAAAGTTTGTCTGGAAAGGTAGGTCAAACAATATTTATTTCAATAAATTTCAAATTTTTGCATTTTAGAAGTAAAAAGTGATACAGAGGCAAACTAACTTTTTATCATACAGCCCTGAAGGAATCATTGAATGCAGTCATGTATTCTCTGAGTCATTAACAAGAGTGATAGCATTAGCAGGGGAAAGAACTACGATGCCATACAAGAACAGCAGAGAATTCTGGTGATGAGATGAATTAGAGCCATCAACTGTTTCATATCATTTATAGCATGCACAGCATGTCAATTCATTATAATGGTTAAATATTTTAAATATGTTGATCATCACATTATTGATATTTACTATTATAGGGCAATTGATTATTTTAGATGTGTTAGCATTTTCCCCAACTAACAGTGAAAGTTTATGCTTACTACCCTAGATTAACATGAGTCTCCACCTACAACATACACTATTTTATGCAGTTTTCTATTTAATTAACATGTTAATAAACAGTACATTCTATTTTTTATGCCCAAAAATTTCAGGCAGAAGGAAGACAGTAGGGACACTGCAAATCTTTCTCCCTTTCTTTTATTGACAAGCTTTATTGCATATGATGTATTTCACAGCCATTTTTATTGCTACTTTTTCAAATTTCTTACACTCACTTTATGATTCCTACAATCAAGAATCCGGTAAGAAACTCAATCTATAAAAGTAATATTTATAGGATTTCACTTTCTTAGAACTTCCTTTATGGAAATGCCACTCATATCAGTGAGCAATAATACATCCACCAATATTACAAATTAAAACTGTTTATTTTTGTTCCTGTGAAAAACAAAAATAAACAACAAGTCTTCAATTTGAAAAGCATGTTATTTCAAAGAAAGAGAAAAAGTCAGGCTCTACTGAACTATAAACGTCAATTCGTATGTAACAAGAACAAATATTTCATTTATTTAATGAATGCATTCTGTTTAATTGGAAAACAAAAATGATTTGATGTTGATATTAATAATATGCTGTTATATAATCTAACAGCCTATCTCTACTTTTTTTCTATATCCAAAGCTAGTCTCAAAAATGAAAGATCATGTACACTATGTACATTTTAAACATTTAAAGGCAGAATTGTATAATTAGTATTTTAGAAAATAAGGTGTACACTGAAATGCACTAATATATTGTACCATATGAAAGCTTGAAATTATTTTAATAAAAAACAATGACTGTCTAGTATAAAATAGATCTGCTGATAGTATAAGCCTCACAATGTCAGCTGTGAGCTGTCCTGTCATAAACCACAACAATGATTATCAAGTGAAAATAAGTGAATCAGAGAAAGAATTATTATGAATGCCTCATAATAATTGCTTTGTTGATCCCTTCCTCGTTGAGTATCTGAAGAATTTTATGGAAATCATTCCAAATTTTGTGTGAATTAAATATAAACTGTAATATTCAGCACTTTCTCTCCTTTCCAAATTACACTGGTCTACAAGGAGAAAGCCTCAGAAATGAAAGTAGCTTAATTTTACCAGAATTGGGTCACTAATAAAGGAAAATTAAGTCCTGAATATTAATTGGCTCCAGTTTCCAAGACACAGCTTCAGGTCAAAACTGCATCAAAATAATTCAAAATTACGACAGGGATGTGTGATTATGCTCCACAGCTTTTCTTCAAAATATGATAGAACAATGAGAATGGTGCCACACCAATCATTATAAATTTATCTTTTTATTGACAGCAATAACATAACTTTCCATTCATGTATTGGTTTTTCATGTAACATTTTCATGCTTTTTGCATGAAAAACTGACAAGCTCTAACTTCAGATTAAACGGCAAGATTCCATCTTCATTTGGTATCTAAATTGCGCTTTTTGGCTTTTCTGTTGTGAACTGCAGTAGGATCATCCCTGGGGAGATTCCAGCAGTAATCGGCAAGCATAGACAGACTCCATTTCCCTCGGTATCTTTTCTCCATGCCTGTGATATCCTGGTGGAATCTCTCCCCATGCTCATCATTCACTTCCCCACAGTTCAAAAGGAAATAGTCTAAATGCGAGTGTAAGAAGTGAATTTTTAGTGACATGTTTGCACCAAGTGCTTTACAACAGGGGTCACCAACTTTTCGGACCTCAGGAACCACTAAATTCATAATTTTAAATCCCATGGACCACTAATATGATCTGCCTAAAGACTGGCTGAGTAGGAGGGGGGGGCTAGATGGTCATGTGACTGAGTGGACGTGGCCAACTCAATGTCACTCACGTCGAGGGGTGCCTCGCCGGCCTCTACTCACCACTCCCCTCCCAGCCACTCCTCACCTGCTGGCCTGGGCTCCTCAGGCCCCAACAGGAAGCAGTTGTTGGAGCTAAGCAGCCACCACGAGTTGGCAAAACAGCTGGCTCAGTTCAAATTGGATCTGACCGAGAAGGAGGCTCAGCAGAAGCACCTCATTGAGGATTACAAGCATAGGCTTTCCAAGCTGAGGGAAGACCTGAGGGAGTGCAAGGCTAGGTAGTGGTGCCTGGAGACTCAGCAAGCTGAGATGGTCAGCCAGTTCCAGGCCATGATGCAGTCCCACTGGAACAAGGCCCTTTGGCTTTTTGCCACCAACGGCACTTCCCTCCATCCTTCATCGAAAGCCCTGTATCAGGAGGCTGAAGCAGACCCCGAGTCGGAATTTCTGCCCCCCTCCAACCAACACAAAAAGATCCTGAAGGGGAAGTCTCTCTGCAGCAACACAAACATTCATTGCACGTATCTGTCTGTTATCCATCCAATTAGACACTTCAGACTAGGAAATCAACTCCACAGATAGGATAAAATTATTTTTATTGATATTGTTATAACAACGGAATTTTGCATAGCTGTTCTGTATCTCCTCTTTCTTATTGTTCAATGAGTTAGAAAATCATCCACCTGAGCCACTTCCCAATGTTAACTCATTTAGAATTAAAGAATGCTTCAGCCCCTTTTGCCTAGGCAATGGATCCTGCATATCTTCATTAAGGTCATATTCCTTACTGCCTACATCTGCCCTTATTGATATGATTGGCTCACTCTACCCATGTTCAGTCAAGTTCAATCCTAGTCTTCTTCCCCTAGCACTCCAGGTGCTTCTTCTATAACTTCATTTCCTGGAACTCCCCGGTAAGGCCAAAGTTCCCAGGATTTGCAAACAAGTTGCTCAAATATTACATCTTGCCTTTGAGAACAAGAACATAATCAGAGGTTCAGCATAATTGCCTGCCAAGGTGCTTGAAAAATGCCTAGGATTCTGGTTGTCAGAATCCATTAGAATCCATGAGACAAGAGAAACCATCTTAATCGCCACTAACACTTATGGAGGTCACCAGAAGCCAGGAGCTTATCCGTATCAGGAAATGATTTGATCATAAAAAAAGTCTATGCCCAATGTCCTTCATCTTCCATTCACAAACCAACTGAAGCCATGATGACTATGGAGATCGTGAATTTCTAAGCCACATAGAAGTAGAGTGTACTTTTACTTTCCTTTATTTGTTCTCAGGTGAATCCCCATCAACACAGAGTTGTAATTATCATGCTTTCACGGTATGTCCAACTTTTAATATACTAAGATAGACAATATTATTCCAAAATAAAGAAGTGATCACATACCCTCTTAAAAAACCCTTAAGAATTATAGAGAGATCTATGACATTATAACTTAGAATATTGACAATGAAGATCTTGCATCATACTATAAATACCCCATAGTTTCTAACAAGCAAACTACGCAGGTTTCTTAAGAAACACTTTGACATAGCAGTTTATTTCTATATTGTATTTTATTTAGATATGTGCATCTGTTAATTTTGTTAACTTGCACTAAACTGCTAATTTTTTTCCCATTTCCACTAGTGCAGTAAAAATAATGGCAATACCACAGTTAAATTAATATATTGTAATGCTATTCTATAATAATATTTTGTAATTCCATTCTATAATAATATTTTGTATAACTATTTATATTCTTTATACTTTTCATCATAAATTTTGCACATTAATCTATCATTAACTATTCAATATGAGCATTCTAATATTTATTTCATACATATAAAAACTGGCCATAAGTAATAGAAGCCATTGCTGGCTTCTTCCCAAATAATACTTTTCTTTAAAAGTTAAAAAGTACAATTTAGAAAAGGATGCTAAAAACAACTTCAAATACAACTTTGCTCCTACAATGCAGCTATATAATTAAATTCCAAAAAAAATTCAATAATAAAACATGCAGTTTTGTGTGCTCTGGTGTTTCATACTTCTACTAAGGTTTATTAGTTTATTAAAACAGAATTATTTGTCAGATTAGCTCTTTGAACCAATCTTTTAGTTATGAACAGATTATTCAGAATACTAGCTCTGGTGAAATAGTTGTTAAATGTGCTGGAGTGAAGTGACAAATATAAATATACTGAATCATTTTCAAACACTAGATTGCTGATAGCTCTCCACTAATACTAAGTTTGTTGTCCATAACATTTCAGAGTTACTTATCTCTTTAGAAGAGAGTCTGGAAATGATCTGCCCATCAAATAACTTATGAGAGCATCTACTCATATTTTTTGTCACATGATTAATACTAAATTCATATACCAACATATAATAGTTCATTTATGGATCATATCGGGGTGAAATCCACTTACCTTCACTACCGGTTCACAAATGTGAATGCGCACGCCTCCTCCACGCATGTGCAGAGCCTTCTGAGCATGCACAGAGGGTCAAAAACAGGACGTGATGACGTCCGGGCAGGTGGGCGGAGCCTCCCCCTGCCAGCACTACTGGTTCGCCGGAGCCAGATAGAACTGGCTGAATTTCACCACTG